GCTTTCTGGAGGGGAGTGAACTTATGGAGTCTTTCTTCCTCTTTTGATACAACCTTTTTATCTATCTTTATTGCTTCTAATTTTCTAAGGAGCAATTGTTTTTCCTCTGCTAATTGAACTCTTTTCCTTAACTGTTCTACCTCTTCTATCTTTATTGTTTCTAATTTTCTAAGGAGCAATTGTTTTTCCTCTGCTAATTGAACTTTTTTCCTTAATTGTTCTACCTCTGAGATCATATCTGAGTTGAGGTCTTTTATTTCTCTTATATTCTCTATATCTGGTTCAATGGGAGCTCCTACAATATCATTATTCTTCGTTTTCCCCCTCAGACTCTGAGGAGCTTTCTTGAATTTTAGTTAGATCAGGATACAATTCAGGATACAATTTTGATTCTTTCTCATTATGTTCTGATTTTTGTGATTTAACTTCACTTAATTCCTCTAAGGTTTCTTTGGCCTCTCTGAGGTGTTTATCTAAGCCTTGTACATCCCTTCTTTGCAAGCACTCATTTATTAAAGACCAGAAAGAAAATGTAATGGCTCTGAGTAAAGACTGAGCTGCTGTGCTAATTATCATTTTAGATCCTATGTGCCCCATTGGTACCTGCTTCTCTGAGGATTTTCCCCGCCGGGCGTTTCAGACAGCGGTGTCCTCCTTGTTTCGACTCGGCCAAGCCCTTTTTGATAGCAGGCTTCTTCTGATTACTCACCGCTCGCCGCTACAATTTCAGGTCCCTGTTCGGGTGCCATTTGTTGCAAGCCGGCGACGCAGAGCACTGTCCAGCAGTGCCTCAAACCTGAAAGAGCAGCGGGGTGGAGATGGGGCAGAGAGAAAGGAAGGACGCCAAGAGTCTGATCAAGGCGGCGTTTATTGCCGGCAAGCATCAGCCTTTTAAAGGCACATCAACGGGAAACACCTGACTCCTACAGCTAACGTCAGATCTTTAACAGGAAGTACCTGACTCCTACAGATCTTTGGCTATCCGAGTTTCTCTCGTGCAGAGTCAGAAACAAGTTTAACACGTGCAGTCCTTAAAGAGGAACAAATGTTATCTTTCAAAAAGCCAGTGGGCCATGGCTGGCTTCCCACATCTACCTGCTCAGCGCTGGTCACGGCTCCCTCCCCTGCCGGGTGGGCAGTGGGACATCCAGACCCTGCCAATGGGTCCCCGTGGACCAGGGGAGGAAACCACCGATCCATCCCCTCCTGAGCCCGGGCTCTCTGTCCCTGACGCCCGCGCCCTGTCCTCGGACCCACGCTTCTGGACAGTGTCGTCCTGTCATTTAAAGCCACGTGAGCAGGTGAGGCCTCGCTGCCCTGTGGACCCCGCAGAGTTTCGTTTGTTCCACTTCCCTCGGTTTCTGAGTCGTTTCTCAGAGCCCCGAGGTCCTCCTTCCACCGAGAGCTTCCACCCGCCTGGGGAGGCCGAGAGCACAGACCCTGGGGCCAGGCTCCCTCCTGGCTGCCCCTCAAAGCTGCCGAGCCCCAGCGCCCCCCACCCATGTGCCACCAGCAGCAAAGCCTCGGGGACGCCGCTGTGAGTCGCCTCTGTCCCCGCGGGCCTCTTCTGCACGCGACGATCGCGATCCGGGCCACCTTGAACGCGGAGGGAGCGTATGGCGAGCCATTATGGTGAGCCTTGACACAGGCCTAGCGATGATTGAACTTTGAGTCACCTTGCTGGCACGGACGTGCTCTCGCCCATAGCCACGGGGTGAGTTCAGCTGGCAGCAGATGTAACCCATAGTGGTTATTGTTTCCCTCTGGAATGTGTGGGCGGTACTCTCGCTCCCAGTGCAGCCCTCACTCCCATGCAGCTGGAGAGTATAAAAGGAAGAGGTTCTGTAATAAAGCAAGCAAGGAAGTTGAGAAGAAAGGTGCCTCTTGTGTCTCTCTCCTCGTCCTTTCAGGTTTAGGACCTGCTGGCAGGATCCTGAAGTCGCGGCTCGCGACAGGAGCAGAGCGGCGACCCCGGGCTGGGGCCTCGCAGAGCGCGCC